CCTCTCTTCCTCCCATCATTCTCCGGGTACGGTACTCAACCCAACAAATTTTCGAACCTCTGTACATTCGTCAAAATGTACCGAAAAATTTCGAGAAAAATATTTTTATACCCAGCTCGATGAGAGCTTTCGATAGATATCTCATTTACCCTATTTATACCCACTTTGAAAAAAATTTTTTTTGGCCGGAAATTTCAGCTGAAAAAAATCACTGAAATTTTTAAAAAATCATATCTGGCCCAAAGTAAACCTTTTTTATAAATTTTAAAATTCTATAAGATGCAGAAAATTCTGCTCTATCCAGGAAAAATACTGTCGGCCCAAACCGCCGGCAAAAATCCCGGAAAAATTTCGAAAAACCAAAAAATTTTGGGTTTTTCGAAATCCGACCCTTACACACCCAGTTTCGAATTTTTTCGAAATTTTTTGGGCTCAAAAAATTTCTAATTTTTTACTCTATTTTATAAAGCAAACCCCATCACATTCCGATAATCCCACAAAAAGTTATTCAAAATTGAAAAATCCCGAATATCCCCCGAAAGGGGTACCCCTTTTGAAAAATTCGAGGGGTCAAAAATTTTCGAATTTTGAGCAAAAAATATCCTATATGGTGCATTGATATGCGCTAAATCCATATCAGGTGTCAGAAAAATTCTAAAAAATTTTTCAAAAAAGTTATAGTCCAAAAAATTTTCGCGACATTTGCGAACATTGGCCATAACTTTTTCAGACTCAAACAGACCCCCGACATATTATACCTTTTTCGGAGCCCCTCATTATCCCCTCTTGAATGACTACTCATTCACCGATATCCACTTTAATCTCAAATCCCGAAAATCCCGGATTTCGTAGTTCGAACTCCGAACTTCGACTTTCGACATTATCCTATATCCTACTAAGCTCCCCTCATTATTTGCTCTTGAATGATTACTCATTCGACCGTACTTCCCAATCCCGAAAATCCCGGATTTCGAAGTTCGAACTCCGAACTTCGACTTTCAGCCTGATCCTTTATCCCACTAAGCTCCCCTCATTATCCCCTCTTGAATGAGTACTCATTCGACCCCACTTCCCAATCCCGAAAATACCGGATTTCGAAGTTCGAACTCCGAACTTCGACTTTAGGCTTAATCCCTTATCCCATTAGACTCCCCTCAGTCCCAGCTCTTGAATGACTACCCACTCACCCATATCCCCCAACCTCGTAAATCCCGGATTTCGAAGTTCGAACGCGAAACTTCGAATTTAGACTTTATCTTTTATCCCATTAGACTCCCCTGATAATCCCCTCTTGAATGACTACCCACTTGGAATATCCCCAAACCCCGAAAATCCCGGATTTCGAAGTTCGAACACCGAACTTCGAATTTCGACATTATCCCTTATCCCATTAGACTCCCCTCATTATCCCCTCTTGAATGAATACTCATTCGACCATGCTTCCCATTCCCGAAAATACCGGATTTCGAAGTTCGAACTCCAAACTTTGAATTTCGACTTAATCCTTTATCCCATTAGACTCCCCTGATCATCCCCTCTTGAATGACTACCCTCTTGCCCATATCCCCAACCCCCGAAAATACCGGATTTCGAAGTTCGAACTCCGAACTTCGACTTTCATACTTATCCCTTATCCCATTAGACTCCCCTGATCATTCCCTCTTGAATGACTACCCACTCACCCATATCCACAAATCCCGAAAATACCGGATTTCGAATTTCGAACTCCGAAACTCGACTTTCGGCTTTACCATATATCCCATTCAACTCCCCTCATTATCCGCTTTCGAATGACTACTCATTCGACCATATTCGAAAATCCCTAAAAATCCCGAAATCCCGGATCCCTAATTTCGAATTCCCCCTTATTGCACTATCAATAAACCCTCCCTCAACTCGAAACTTGCTTAAGTTTCGAAATCCCACTATTTTCACTCGAAATTTCTCCTATCCATCAAAATTTCTCTCTCACCTATGAGATTTGCCCTTAGGATTTCTTCAATTTAGAGAAATCCGACAGTTATCGGTAAGACAGATTTCTTACAGAAATTTTTGCCCCCCAATAAGTACCCCTAAAGTTCGAATTTCGATTTTGAAATTTTTCCTACCCATATCTCCTCGTTCTGCTTCAATCGCCTCCCAGCAGAAATTTTCCGATATCTTTATCCGTTTTCGAGTTATTTTCGAAAAACTCGAATTTTAAATACCGACACACCCTTCAATTCACCGAAAATGTCTGAATTTTTGCCCACCAATAAGTACCCTTGAAATTTGAATTTCGACTTCGGGTTTTTTGCAATCGACATTGTCTATTGATGCTTAAGTGCCCTCCCGTTAGTCCGACACGCGTATCTGTACCCAGTCCCGAGATATCCCCGGTACCTCTATTATTTAGGTACCAAGGGGTTCCTAAAATTTTCCGTCCTTATTTTTCCCAAATGCCCAATAAGATTTGACCCCGGACATGTAAAACTTTCAGCCCATTATCTCAACTCTGTAAAGAGTTCTAAATTTTTGATTAAATTTTACCAATACTTTTATATATATATATAAATAAACTAAAAAATGTTTTACTTTAAAACCTCAGTTGGATTTTCAGACTTTTTTGTTTATTATTAGGGTGTACATTTATATGGAAATCCATATTTTTTTCCTGAATTCCTATGACTGTGAAATGCACGAAAAACATGTTTTTGGCTTGTTTTAGGGTTTCTGGGATGGTCTGTAAATCTATATTTTCCATATTTGTCCATATTTAGCCTTTATATCCATATTTTATATCAATATTTCTCTTTTGTTGAATATTTTGATCCATATTTGGACATTTTTTGGTAAAAATTAGTAAAAATTGGGAAAATTTTTAAAATTTTGGAAATTTTTAGTCAAAAAATTTTTTCAAAAATTTTTTGGAAAAATTTATTTTCAAAAAAAATTTAACAAAAATTTTAAATCCATAAAATCTTTTAGAACGATCTTAAAATGCAGAGTTAAAGGCAAAATTGTTGTTTTCTACACAAAATACTGATTTCTAAAATATTTTTTCATCATATTTTGATCCATATTTCGGTATTTTATATCCATATTTAGTATTTATTTCCATATTTATATCCATATTTTAGAATTTTATATCCATATTTTATGTCCATATTTTTCAATTTTATATCCATATCTGAACAACAATTGTAGAACCCATCGAGCTGTGTCGAATGATACCAAAATCAACAAAATCCGACTTGATTTGACCGAAATACAGACCCCTGAAAATTGAACAACCACAGGGGCTAAAAACCAAAAGGACGAAAAAGTATACAAATGATAGCTTATTCGAAAGTGCTCGTCGAGCTGAGTCGGTTGACACTAAAATCAACGTAATTGGACAAGTTTCGATGACAAAAGTCGCCGACTCCGGTAGGTCTAAATAATGTCATAACTTTATCAAAACACGTCCGATTGCATTGATTTGGGTGTCATTCGACTCAGCTCGATGAGCTCTTTCCAATGAGCTATCATTTGTGTAAACTTTTTTAATTTCAAAAAATCGCCCCTACGGTTGTTCAATTTTCAGAGGTCTGTATTTCGATCAAATCAAGTCGTATTTTGTTGATTTTGGTATCATTCGACACAGCTCGATGGGTTCTACAATTGTTGTTCAGACTGACCATTTTTTAATACTTTGAGGAAGGAAAAATGAGGGGGGAACGAAATTGAATATGGAGGAACGAAGCCTGCCCCCCCCCCCCCCCTTAAAAACCGAAATCTCAAGGAAAAATAATAAAGTTAATAGTTTTAGATAGTTTGAAATGTCCTCTATTTAATGATATTAATTTTGGAATTTTTTCTTTAAAAATCAATTTATGGCAATTTTTAGAAAAAAGTACCTCATTTTTTAGTCATTTTTCAGGAGGTCGTAGGAACGAAGCCTGCCCGGGATTAAACTTTTACCTCGCACATTTTCTTTTAATAAAATAAAAATTTTTTAGAAAATTCAAAAAAATTGTTGAAAGGATGAAATTTTTCCTTACAATTTTTATTTTAATTTTTTTCTTAACGGATTCCTTCGGAATGGAGGGAAGTAGCAGCAGCAATAAACCCACAAAAACTAGATTTGGTAAAATGCCATCATTTAAAAATCTTTCAAGACAAATATCCAACTTGTCTAGTGCAAGTTCAACAAATCCAATTGATGATGCATTGGAAAAAGTAGGAAAAAAAATCAAAAATTGGATGCTTAAATCAAAGGAAAAAGTAAAAGAGGTGGGGAGAGATGTGAGTGAGGTTGTTCATAGAGGAGGTTGGAAAATATATTTTAAATAAATATATTGGAGCTTTCGAATGAGCTATTATTTGGGCTCTATCTTAGGACATGCGTCCCATGAAAGTATATGCTTCCCTTGCAAGTATATGCGTCTTCTCACCAAAAAAGTATATGTGTCCCCTCCCCTATACCACTTATAATTACCCTCCCTCGATTAATTATTCCCTACAGCGGAAGATCGAAACAAAGTAAAGCAGCTGGGCTATAGCTATTTCTCTCCTTTAGCTAGTGCAAAAGGTTAATCGGCGGCTGGGAGCGAACCATCATCTTCAGTAGACCGGACTGATGATTAGCCATTACACCACGCCGCCTACTGCTCAGCCTTAGGAAATTAATAGCTATATGCTTTACAACAATAATTACCCAGGATAGTTATTAAGGGATATACGGTAATCGTCATTTTTCTTTAAATATATGTCGGAGCAGCAGATTGGGTCCGGAAAGGTCTCCGCAATTTTCACATCTTGAATGTTAATTTTTAAACAATTTTTTTACAGAGCATAAATATAAATACGACGAAATATCGGAAAATCTGCAAAAATATGCCAAAAGTGGAGGCATACTGAATTCTGTGTATAGCCAACTTGTAGAAACCAAAAACGAACTTGAGAATAAATATGGGAAGGATTTAAAAACAGTAAAGGATTCTGCACATGATTTTTATGAATTTGTTCGTTCAATTGAAATGATTGTGGCAAAACCAAAAAATTTTAGAAATAAAATAATTGGACAAATAAAAGCACATTTTTTGAAGGACAATGAAAAAGTTGAGGAAAAATATATTGGAGTAATTAAACAAATGATGAATGATTATAATAGTTATGATGATGAAAAAGATAAAAAAGTAATTAATTTATTAGCTCAAACCATTTTTAGCGGTTACCTTAAACACCATTATAATTCTCCGAAATTGCCCCTAAGGCACCAAAAGTTCCCTATGTTGCCGTAAGTTACCAAAAGACAAGAGCATTTTAGATATGTATTAGAGACCGGTGCGGGACGGGATCACGAACCTTTTCCTATTTGCGGGATTTTGTGGGAGTGCGGGGCTTTTAGTAATACATCAATTTTTAATTGAAAATGGCTAATATTTGATAAAAATTTTGCTTTTTCAAATTGCCTCTTATGCCCACCCCTGATCACGATGATTGATTTCATTTGAAAAGCTCGAGCTTTCCCAATTTGTATATCCGAATTTTTTGCTCGAATATAAGCTTGCTCCCCTACGATCTTTTGACTCGAATCAAGATTCAAAGGTATTGTCCACGTATGTACCTCCGTCGCCCTTTTTAAAATTTTCAAAATTTAGAATGCGGGATTTTACGAGAGTGCGGGATTATATTACTCCCGCATGCGGGATCTAGCACCAGTCTCTAATCTGGATATATAATGAACCCATTAAGAAATGGGGCGATTTATAAAGTTTTACCATACGTACTATATTTTAAATTTTTAATTTAGATCCCTGAAGGAAGGTAGGTAACATTTTCAAAAAAAATATATTTAAATTTTTATAAAGGGAGGAGTATAACGAAAAGTTGAAAGTTTTCAAAGAAAAATATGCCATTTGGAACAAAATTTACAAAAAATTCGATAAAGATGAGGTGGAAATAAGCAAAGAGATTCTAAGATTAAATGAGGAAGAAGAAAAATATAATAAAGCTTATGATGCTGCACGCAATCTTATTGAAACGAAAACACTTGCTGGTTCCAGCCATAAAAGGTCCCGTCGACGCGGTTCTAGAGAATTTAGCATTGGATCTAGTGAAGAAATAAGGTCTAATTTGAGTGGAGAAGTCTCTCTTTACAGTCACAATTCAAATGAAAGTGGACGTGAGAAAATTTTATTTTTTGAACTATACCTAGCAACCTGCAAAGAGAATACATACCGTATTTTCTCTATTAGAATGCCACTCCCCATTTGAATGCCAGTCTCTAATAGAATGACACTTTGGAAGGAGATTGAAAAATAGAATGCCATGGCATTCTAATAGAGAAAATACGGTATTTTGCAACCTTTCTTTATGTTGGCTCCGGCCTCTTTCAAATCTTGGTAATAAAGGATCAAAAATAAATGATCAAATAACCATAAATTTGAGACCATTTTGGCTAAAGTTCTTTTATGGGTCTGATCTAAATATGGATGATTTATATGTCATTCGAAAGTGCTCGTCGAGCTGAGTAAATTCTGAAAAAATTCAAATAGCAATTCCAGAACTGGAACCTGTTCCAGAGAAATTTTGGAACCTCTCCATCACTAATAGGAAGGAGTCACTTATTTTGGCACTTATAGCCTTCAATCTATAAGTATTTACAAACTTAAAATTCTATCCCTACAAATCACCTCAAAAATTTTTTAATAAAAAATTTAAAAAATTTTTAGACTCTGATAGATCCACAAGCAGCGCAAGTCGTATTCTTAAAAGCGCTGGCAAAAAAGCCAAAAAAGTAAAGGAGTCTACAGCTTTATTTGCAAAGGGCATACCAGGGAACAAAATTGGAAAAAATTTGAACATTTGCAAAAACACAATAGCACCAATATGGATAGAAATAAACAAAGAAATCGACGAGATCAATAAATTAATAACGGTTATTTTTTTAATTTGGAAAGTAAAAAATATCAAGATCTGCATAACCTTTACTGCTTGGACCAGATTCTTGAAACAAAAAGTATCAAGAAACTCTGAAAAATGCCTTGACTAATATGGATCTAGGAAAAATCAAGTTCTTGATCCAGATCTCTAAAATTATCAAAAAAACTTCAGAAATTCCAAAGGACAAATAAATATATAGTCTTGATTCAGAAATCCAAATCTTCAGAAGCGACACTTAATTATCATAATATAGCGTTTAAGCCAGGGATGTGCGCCATTGCGTTTTGGCATTCCGTTTTGGCGGGTTTTAAGAATTTGAAAAATTGGCGGCACACAGCCCTGGTTTAGGCCTTTCATATAAAGATATACTTAATGATATTACTATCTTTAAGGGTTGTAAAAAGAGATAACCTATTTTACAGTGATTTTCAAGGTCAAGATCTTGACTACTGTCATATATGACGAAATTTGAATAGTCTCATGAAAATAACATTCTCAAAAACTTTTACCAGTTGCAAACATAATAATTTTTTATATTCAGGATATTGAAAAGTCGAATAGTACCATTGAAGATTTGCTTCACAAACATGAGGGTCCTCACCCGTATGACCAATTTGATACAGTTGGCGCCGATATTATTGGTAAAAATATTAAAATAATTTTTTATCAATCTGTTGAGTCCGTATTTGCTGATGGAAAAGGAATGAATAAAAATAGCCAATCATCGGGTTGGATGGTAGCACAGTCTGTTGTGCCCGGGGTTGTTACATGATGGTTCAAGTCCATCTCCCATCCAGTGAAATTTTCCTCAGCTTGAAAGTAATACATACTATCTTCTTTGTTTTTTTGGCGTTATAGATGTATGTATTTAAGTATAAACTGGTCAATGGTGTTGTATAGTGGTGTACGGATAGTATAAAAACCAGTGAAAGAGTCAGTCTAGTTGGATCATACTAGCGGGGCTATTTACTGATCTCCTTCGCCTGTCCCGTTCCCTTCGCCTTCATTGTAAACTCGAGTTTCGTCTGTAATAAATTTCTTACAGAATTCAATAAACTACAACATGCAGTTAACCAACTTGTTGATAAGGAAACGATTATTTATTTAATTGGTTTATATGATATGAGAAAATGGAAGGGTTATCAAATTGGTGAATTCTATCAAAAGTCTAAAATGACAGCACTTGCTAGTTTACAGGACTTTAATGAGGAAAAGCAGACATTAGAATCTGTGCAGGAATTATTGACGGTTTACTTTAAAAAAAGAAAATAGAATATATGTTAACTCTGGAAAGGACCCAATCCAAACAATATAAAACCCAATAAACGGATATATAAATTAGACTTCTAACCCTACAGTAAAACATTTATGTCATTTTAAACGTGAATTCTCTGACCTTGAATTAAGCAGAACTTTGGCTGAGCGTCACAAAAAGTTCGACTGGGAGTCTCAAATAACATATATTTCATAGCAAGATTATTTTAAATGATATGTAAATACTATTTTTAGGAACGAGGATTTGTATATAACTGTAGTGAAAACCCCTATAGAGACCCACAACAATATGATCATACATTTTATAATGAATTTCTGAATATGTATTATCATCCTAGAAAGAAAATAAATCAGGATGTTGATGCTGTGATTGAGCCAGAAAACTATCACAGAATGTTAGGACGATTCGAAATTCAGAATGCGGAACATGGGGGTGGACATGATTCTGAACAACAATATGAAATTGAATATAATAGCGAACATGAACAACAATATGAAATTGAACATTATAGTGAACATGAAACTGAAATTGCTTCTCATGACGATCATGGTCATTAATATAATAAACTAGAAAAATGAGATTTTGAGTGAAATTTTTAATTTTCAGATGCTGAACCATCACCTACGCATGGTAAGCATTATGAAGGTAATAACAATGAATCCATTTGTCTATAATTTGTATTTAAGATCCAGAAAATTATGACCAAATACATAGTGGTCTAAATACAATGTCTCTGAATCAGCCTAGTAATCCGTCTTCAAGCCGAGGTCCTTGGAATCAACAATTTGATCAAAATGAACAAACACATTTTAATTGGGATCAGTGGTTTCAACAAAATCCGAGTCATGGTCGTTGGCCAAACCATTTGGGTTATGGTTATCATAATCAACAAAGCATCCTGAGTCAACAAAATCCTTCGGGTCAACCTTGGCATCCGTCTTCAAGTCAATTTCCTTGGAATCAACCATTTGATAATGAACATTATCCTTCGAGTCATGTTCATTGGGCAACCCCTTCGGGTTATGATCCTTATAATCCACATAACACCTCGATTCAACAAAATCCTTCTGGTACTTGGGATTGGATCAATAATCCCTCATCATCTACAACACATGTTGGGCATTTTGGAGGTAATTACAAGAAATTAGAATCATTTATAATTCTTATTTTAGGTCCACAAAATTTTCATCTTATTCAAACTGGGCAAAGTCAAGATATAGCGGTGGGTTATCCCTTGCATCACCCTTTGAATCCGCCTTTTCGTCATCCACATGATTTACATCAAATACAAAGTGATCAAAGTCAAAATACAATGTCGGGTGACTATTTGAACGATCCTCCTGTGGATCAACAAAATCCAGGGGATTGGAATCGTTTTTAGTAAAACGTCTCCTTGGTTTTACGATAATCTTTTTGTTTTCTTCACCGAATATAACAATTTTAATTCGAAGCTATCTTTATGTACTATTAATTTTCTCAATTCCATTTTTCTAGGGGCTATTACTAATGGTAGATATTTAAAAATTATTTAATTTTTTCATTCATTTATTTTTGAGCTGGTCATTAATTCATGTTTCGAAACTAAATTCTAGGTGATTGTAAAGCCCTGGATTGGTCCTTCATTTCTTACATATTCGGTAAAGCACATTTTGGATATTACACATTCCGCTATTTGCAAATTTTACTAATTATATTTTCTTCATTGTCTTATTTCTCCTGAGAGATATAGTTGACCAATGACACATTATAACGGAAAAATTATTATTGTTAAACATCTAAAAATTATCTTTTCCAAATTTTTGTGTTGGTATCGGTGCTGGATATGGCTCTGTAATAAGAGAGAATCAAGTGTTTTGATTTAAATAGATATTTTGGTACTTTATGGATATATCACCCCATTATTTTAAGTCTCAGAGTTTTCCTTAATATGCAATAATGGTCAGCCTTCCTTCCTTCCACAATTTCAGTCCATTTCCCTGTGGCGTATTTAATTGAGAGGAAAGATTATTTTTTTGCAAAGTTGCCTATAATTAACTATAATTAAGGTCTTCTCCTCAGCCACAGGGAAATGATAAGAAATTATGGAAGGAAGAAAGTCATATTAAGGAGAACTCTGAGACTCGAGATAAGGGGGGGGATTGATATATCAATAAAGTACCGATATTTTTGAAGTTAAAATTTTCTTGTTTATTTTATTGGAGCCTTATTTTATTTGATATTATTTACTATATAAAAATTCTATTTTATTACAAATAGAGAGATGAATTTGCTTTTATCTAAAAAGTTGGGTAGTAAAATTATTTTTGATTGACTCATTAACGAGTGTTAAAAATTCATAAATTCCCCTCTCTATTTATTTTTTAAATTTTATTTTTTTATTGTAGTTTTTTAAATTTAACAAGTAGTATTTTTATTTGCAAAGATAAATTAGCTATGTAGATTTGCTACTATTTATTGATAGACAAAGTCCAGCTTATTAATAAAAATTTTATATTATTGGGAAAGACTCGTTTTAATGGGAAAAAGAGAAGAAAAAATCCAAACTTAAAAAGCCTACATCCATCATGTGAGTTGAAAAGGGAAGGATGAATGTTCGTTGCAGATTCTACCACTTGCAGATTCTACCACAAAATTTAAGTCTTAAGCAAACAAATTATTTAAGCTAAATGAAATAAATATTTCGATATGTTTATACTGGGCGTCATCAGTTTAATTAAACAATTTAAATTTAATTAAATAAATAAATTTGTTAACCAAATAAAAATGCTGTTAAGTGGAAAAAGTTTGGTTAAGTGAATATTATGAGTCATAATATTGTTAGTGTAATCCTTTATATTGTTCATTTTTCTTTCCCTTTTCTTCGTTAATGGATTTTCATTTTCTAAACGGTGTGACAAGCGGAGATCGTTCCTCTTCTACCCGAGCAGTGTTTTCACCCTGAGCGGTGTATGCGTTTCCTTTAACATTAAATCCTGCCTATTACACCGCTTGTCTTTCTCAAAGCGTTTTACAGGAAAAGGAAGGAAAAATGGACAAAGTCTAAGGATCGCGACTAACATTAATATTGATTGAAAAATTAATTAAAGTTAAAGCAATAAATTAAATGTGTCTGGGAAATTTGAGTTTTGATGTTCTGAAGTTCTTGAACATCTGGAATTGATGTTCTATTGAAACGGGTCGAAATCCTAACAATTAAAATAATTAGAAATTAATTTAGAATTTATGTCGAGGCGAGCCTCGACAATACTTTTGCTTAGTTGACACAAGCTAGTTGCAAAAGACATTTGTAAACAAATAGTCAAAAAACAAAGAAAAACAAAAGGAACTTAAAATGATAATTTTTCTTATCTACTTAGCTGTCATTATCATCAGAAGGATTAATTAAAATCTCTTAATTGATTCTTTCCTAGATCCGGCATTTTCTCAAACTAGCCAATCCTGGTTAAAACAGAAGTTACGGTTTAGAATGTCCGGATTCCGAAACATAATAGGGAGTGTGCATAAAGACACTCCCTATAATTCTTTTTTTATTTTCAATTTCATGTCTAGAATTTGCAAATAATTAATTAATTTATTTTATTTATTATTAAAAAAATTTTTTTATAATTGCAATATTTTATTTGCACTTTTAAAATTTTTTCCATTGATTAATCTTGCTTGTCAAAATTTTTAAAGAGGTAATATGCATATGACAGCCAAATATTGACGTTAGCTTTCGAAAGGCAGAGGCGCAAGAAAGATAAAAACAAGTAAAGCGACGATTGAGAAATCGCTAGAGTAATCCTTATAAAGCGCTGCATTATAAATAAATATTGAAAATAAATCTGCTGCCTTTTGTCTATTCTTCTGATGCTGGTATTGCACTTCAAAATAGCCGATCAGACGTGCCATTTCGGAATTGGCGTTTCAGAACAGAATTATCTACCGTGGTAGATAAAGGATTGGTTGGGTTACGCGAAACCCGGACCTTTTTACCCGAAATCCGACCCGAAGAATTTTTGGAAACTTTTTTCTCAGACCCGTCCTTTGTTTTAAATATGTAACCTTCTATATTTATGAGCTAATTCATTCATTATTGTGAATTGGGCAAGGGTGCACGTCGTAAAGATGCTGCGACCGTCGTATATTTTAGTAAAAAAAACTTTTCGCAACATATTCCCTTTTATGGAATCGCCTATTTTTGACTTTCCACTGTCAATAGTTAATGTCTCTCTTCATTTCTCGCTTTCTTTGGGTAAAAAGAGATGGATTATGGGGGAAAGGGGGGAGGGAAGGGTTGGTGGAGAGGGGGAGGGAGGGTTGGGGGAGAGGGGGGGGGGCAAGCGATTAATGCTAGCTTAAATATATGGAAAATTGAATGAAGTCTTTCATTTTAAAATACACTCTTCACTCTTATGTAAAATTAATTTTTTAAAGTCAATAGTCAAGAAAATTTTTTTAATAATAACAATTTAATAAACAATTTTTTGAATAAACTAAAAAAACCCGGGCTATTATGATCAACTAGACTGGCGCTTACAGTGGTTTTATAATATAGTGAAACCCTGTCACAACAGAATCCTTTGGAATTTAGAATTATTATCTAATAATTTCATTTAATAAAATAAAAATTTTTTAGAAAATTTAAAAAAATTGTTGAAAGGATGAGATTTTTCCTTACAATTTTTATTTTAATTTTTTTCTTAATGGATGCCTCCGGAATGGAGGGAAGTAGCAGCAGCAATAAACCCACAAAAACTAGATTTGGTAAAATGCCATCATTTAAAAATCTTTCAAGACAAATATCCAACTTGTCTAGTGCAAGTTCAAACAATCCAATTGATGAAATGTTAGGAAAGGCTGCAAAAAAATTCAAAAATCTACTGAATAAATCAAAGGAAAAAGTAAAAGAAGTGGGGAGAGAAATGAGTGAGGTTGTTCATAGAGGAGGTTGGAAAATATTTTAATTAAATATATAAAGAAGTTTAGATATATTTGTTTTACGAGGGCCGAAGGCCCGAGCTGACACCAATCTAAAAGGGAGGGAGGGCGAGGCACGGAGCGATGAAAAGGCAAGGCTAATCTTCTTTTCCACGCTTTCAAACTTTCTAGCAGCGCGCCGATAAACTTTCCAACGGGCAGAACAAATTTAAATTCAAAGTATCATAACCAAATGCACCCAGTTATCCGGCGCATAAGTGGTCAAACCCATCGCTAGTTTAATTAAATATATAAAGAAGTTTAGATATATTTGTTTACAAAAATTTTCGATAAAATTAATAGAAAAATTCGAAAAGAATTGCCCGAATTTTTGGGAAATTTTCCTTTAACCCCCTATTTCTCCTTTGAGCTTTATACATTAAACTATAAATTAAAATATGCACCATAATATGCATGAATAAATCGTAGTCCAAAATTTCCCAACCCCATGGCAAAATTTCTCATGATCGTATATTTTTTTTTGCGCCAAAAGTGGAGGATTCGGTTTGATATTATTCTGATACTGACAAGGACAATCTATAAATTAAAAAATTTTGACTTGTATAAATCTGTCGCAAGTTTCATCCATGACAAATTACGGTAATTTTTAAAATATTTTTATTTATCAGAGCATAAACATAAATACGACAAAATATCGGAAAATTTGCAAAAATATGCAGATAGTGAAGGCAAACTGAATTTTGAGCTTAGAAAATTTGTAGAAAAGAAAAACGAAATTAAGAATAAATATGACGAGGATTTAAAAAATGCGCAAGATTCTGTGAAGGATTTTTCAAATTTTATTGGTTTAATTGAAATAATTGAGGCAAAACCAGAAAATTTTAAAAAGAAAATAATTGGACAGATAAAAGCACATTTTTTGAAAGACAATGAAAAAGTTGAGGAAAAATATATTGAAGTAATTATGGATATGATAAAAAAATATAAAAATTATGTTACTGAAAAAAACGAAAAAGTAAAAAATTTATTAGCTATGTAATGCCAAAATTTATAAAAATCCAAAATAGGCCTGTTCTCGGGAACGTGTGTTTAAATAACTGTCGCTTAGGGATGTGGAGTGTGACCATTTGCAAGGGAACCGATATTACGGAGACAAGTAGTTGAGGGGAGTTTGTAGAAAGGTATAAAGGAAATTTTGCTCAATTAGTTTACGGAAATACTAAAATCTTCCAATAGCCATTAGCTCCAATTATTAAACATTAAAATAGGATATTACAGTGTGTATAGGCACGACAGGGGCGTCGTTAGTTCTGAGTCACGCTTATGAGCAAATCTAGAAAAGCTAACTTTGTAGTTAAGTCTGTCACTAAAGAACCTATTGTAAAGATGATTAACCAAGCAGCAGTTAAAACGCTTAGGCGGGGGTCAAACGATTTAAAAAGGAAAAATAATGCATTAGTCGATGCTCCGGTAGCTCAGAGGTAGAGCTCCTGTATATGGTGAGCGAAAGCGCCTAGCAATCAACTAGCAGGTGGTCGCAGGGTCGATCCTGCCCGGTGGTTAAACTTTCGCAAATTCTTTCTTTCTCTATTCATTAATCCTCCATGAAAACCGGAAATTATTACTAGACCCAATTGCTAAAAATTTTAAAAGAATCACACATTTATTTTCAATTTTTAATTTAGATTGCTGAAAAATGATAGGTAAAATTTTGAAATAAATTTTAATAAATATTTTTTGAAGGAAGCAATATATTGCTTCGTGTAGTAATTTGCTAGAAAAGAATGATAAATTGAAAAGTAAAATGTTTAGCGATGGATTCGAAAAAGATAAGGTTGAAATTGACAAAGAAATTAAAAGATTAAATGAGGAAATTGAAAAATATAATAAAGCTTATGGTTGCGGATTTAATCTTATTAAAAAGAAAACACTGGATAGTCCCAGCCATAAAGGGTCCCATCGACGCGGTTCTAGAGAATTTGGATCTAATGAAGAAATAAGATCTAATATGAGTGGAGAACTTTCTGTTTACAGTCACAATTCAAATGAAAGTGGAAGTGGGAAATTTAAATTTACTTAACTATATTACCGTATAACCTGTATTAATTGCCCTCCCTCAAATAACTACCCCACTTCCGTTAATTACCCCATCCAGCGATAGATTGAAACAATAATTACCCCCAAACAAATACCGTAAAACACGTTCAAATTTCAAACCTCGTATAATTACCCTCCCTTGATTAATTACCCCCTCCAGCGGAAGATCGAAACAATAATTACCCAGGGTAGTTATTAAAGGATATACGGTAATTATAATATTTTCTATTCCCAATTAGAAAAAATTAAAATAAGCCTGATCAATTTTTATGGATTGTACTTCTTCTTATCCCATAACTACTTCTTATCCCAAAGAGGGTAAGATGTATATCGCGCAATTGGTTACTATGGAAATAATCTGATTTTGGAGGATCAGGGAATTTAGGGAGTAAGAGTGATATCAAATGATTTAAATGGACTAGGAAGGATAATACGGATTATATGATAAATGAGAATTAACGCATAAAACGCAATGCGCCCACAACTATCACGGTTGGAATCAATGACGAAAGCTGAGTTACCAAACGATTTCCGTATATTGCCATACCGTATGTTTAACTACTGATAGTTATAAGACTAACAATAAGTAATAAAACAATATAGTACATAAATTTCCTTTATTTTAAATATAAAATTCTTTTAAAGACTCATCTGATAGATCTACAAGCAGCGCAAGCCGTCTTATTAAAGGTGTTGCCAGTACGGCCAAAAAAACACATTTATTTGCAAAGGGGATACATGCGAAAAAAATTAAAAGAAATTTGGGGTTTTGTGAAGAAAAAATAAAGCCGTTATATGAGGAAATAAACAAAGAAATCAAAGAAATAGAAAAATTTTTTGAGGTAATTTTTTATGTTGTGAAGTAAAAATATTAGAATTTCTTCGATTGGGAAAATTGGATTTGAAGGCCTAGATCCGAAATGGACGAGAAACCATATGTGATTCGGAAGAACTTGTCGAGCTGAGTCGAATGACACCAATATTAGATTGTGGTCTTAGATATGGGCTGAGATACAAACCCTAAATATTGAAAAACCATATGGGGACCAAGCTGATTTTTGGGGTAAAAATTTCAGTTATACAAATTATAACCTGTGTCTGAATTTTGAAATTTACATGAGAAATGTTTCAAAATTCAGATGAGGAATGAGAAATATGCAAAAGATTTAAAATTTTTATAATTTTTTAAAGAATTTTTTGATTTTTTTAACTACATATTTAAAAAATATGAAAGACGACTCTTTCTGTTATAATATTTTATGCACCTCATATTTCCACATTACCTTTATTTTGATCCGAACCCAGCCCCATCAGAAAATAAAAGTGTGAAAAATAAAAATTAAATATTCTCAAATCTAATTCTTAATTTAAAAAAATATTTTTTAAAATTCAGGACATTGAGAAGGCCCTTAAAGATTTTGATAAAATATACAAATATGATTTTAACAATTATAATCAAATATTTTTGTCGAGAGAAGTGGATAATTCTGTAGAAGATTTGCAAAAAGCATTACATCTACTCCGTGAAAAGGAAACAATTATTTATTTAATTGGTTTGTTTAGAATGAAAGAATCAAGCAGATTTTTTATTGATAAATTATACGAAAAATGTAAATGGTTTGCAATTGAAAGCTTGAATAAAGAAGGGAAATTTAATGAAAATGAGCAAACAGTTACAACAATTAAAGAATTATTAGAGGTTTTATATTTAAATAAATTTATTCTAATTTATACACAAAAATATGAAGGCCTGTAAGATTTTTTGGATTAGATTCGAGAGTGGGAAAGGCAAGGGGGATGCGTTTTTTAATAATTAGTATATATTTTTAGAAACGAGGTTTTGTTTACCACTGCAGAGATTACCTAATAGAACATGATACAAAAGATTGTACATTCTATAATAGTTATCTTGATATGTATTATTACCCCGGAAAGGTTATAGATCAGTCTGTTGATCGTGTAATTGAGAAAGAAAACTATCAAAGAATGTTAGAACAATTCGAAATTGAAAATTCCGAGCATAAAGGTGGACAATCTATTCAGAATCAAAATGAAATAGAATATAACAGTGAACATGGAAATGAAGTTGAGCTTCATACCGATTATGGTCATTACTTTTATTTAAAACTACCAGAATGTGAATTGAAATAATAAAGATGAAGAGATTTCCTAATTTTCAGATGTAGACTTTCCTCGACAAATGGTTGGTTCAGAAGCTGAACATCATATGGGACCCTCGTCATCTACAAATGATGAGCATCTTGGCGGTAATTATGATCAACTATAATCAATTAACTATACTAAAACGATATAATTGTTTACATGTTTTTCATCTTATAAAAGTGAATATTTTTTGAAGCGAAAATTTTTTAATGTTAATTCTGAGAAAAACAAACAAAAGACTTAAAAAATAAAAGAGAATAATAAAGATAATAAAATTCTCTAACACAGCCGCGTAAGTGTTCTCTTACTTAGCACTTTTTCGCAAAGGAAGTTGTTTTTCTCTAATTTTCGCTGAAAATTTAACCGTAAACAAAAAATAACCAGCCGTCCGCCATTTAATCGCAGGGATTACCAGCCGCGTGCCATATAATCGCACACATTTAATTTGTTGAAAATTAATCGCAGCCATTTTGTATAAGATAGCAACTATCAAACTTTAATGGAACACTATTTGGTTAACACAGTTGAGTACACCCAAACACAGAGTTTATGGGGCAATGAGGAATATTAGAGGATTTTAGGGGAGGAAAAAGGGGCTTATCTGGCGACTTGGGGAGTAAGCGGGATATTGAGGGTTTTGTGGTATCAAGAGGGCTTTCGGGATTTGCAAGGGATTTCGAGGAAAATTGTTGATTTGGAGGCTTAGAGATTTCTGATTTATGCGAAAATTATAGATCTAACTGCTGAGATAAGGCTGTAATAAAACTACCGTAATTACTCAAATAATTACCCCCTATTTTTCCTACTGATTTTAAAAATATTTATTGAAAATTATCGAATTTAATAATAAAACATTTTACCAATCAATAGAATAAATCGAGAGTTTAAAAGATTTAGGGAAAACCAAGGATTTTGCGGATTAAGAGGGAAATTGTGGGGATTAAGAGATTTTGTGAGATAATGGGAGATTGAGATTTTTAGGTATATAAGCCTTATTCCTTATATGCCACTAAATCCTTCTAAATACCTTAAATCCTTGCATGACTTTGTGCCTTTATAAATCCATAGACGGAATTATTGTTGGCATAATACTATCTTGAGTACATTATATAGCATATATTAAAAAATTGATATTATAACCTCTAACAGGAAATATACGTATTTAAATACATGTCCATGATGCTTTTATATATCCCAGGACGGAAGTATTAATGTTATAATACCGTTTTGTGGGAAATATTAAGGAATAATAAAGTTAAAACGCAACTTTTTATCTCCGTATTTGGTAACGTATTGTATATTCCTGTTCATATGCCTATGATAAAATAAAAATATAAAGGTCGAAATAATAATTACCCTCTCTCAAATAATTACCCCCTCCCTATTAATTACCCCCTCCAGCAAGAGATCGAAACAATAATTACCCAGGGTAATTATTAGTAGGGTGTACATTTATATGGATATAAAATTGAAAAATATGGACATAAAATATGGATATAAAATCCTAAAATATGGATATAAATATGGAAATAAATACTAAATATGGATATAAAATCCCGAAATATGGATCAAAATATGATGAAAAAATATTTCAGAAATCAGTATTTTATGTAGAAAACAATAATTTGATCTTTAACTTTGCATTTTAAGAGCATACTAAAAGATTTTATTGATTTAAAATTTTTGTTTAATTTTTTTTCGAAAATAAATTTTTACGAAAAATTTTTGAAATGAATTTTTATTCAAAAATTTCCAAAATTTTGAAAATTTTCGCCAATTTTTACTAAAATTTACCAAAAAAGTCCAAATATGGACCAAAATATTCAACAAAGGAGAAATAGTGATATAAAATATGGATATAAAGGCTAAATATGGAAAATATGGGCATAGTGCCAAAATATGGAAAAATATGGAAAATATGGATTTACAGACCATCCCAGAAACCCTAAAACAAGCCAAAAACATGTTTTTCGTGCATTTCACAGTCATAGGAATTCAGGAAAAAAATATGGATTTCCATATAAATGTACACCCTAATTATTAGAGTAAATACGGTATGTTGGATCATTAAGTTATTTTGAATCTGGAAAATCTGCGAGGCAATACATAAATCAGAGAGTAAAATTTTGTGAATAAGCTGAAAGCGTTATATCTAAAAATATAACGCTCACGAGATATATTAATTCTCAGGAATTAATGGGGATTTGGAGTGACTAATGGGTATATCTGGGAATATAAGTGATTTTGCAGAGATAAAGTGGATTTGAAGGGAATAAATGTTTCCCTGAAGATAAGAGTGGCTTTAGAGGTATTAAGGGTAAAAAGGATGCAAGGATGTTTAAAAGGATGAAAGTAATTTTGAGGGTTAAGTATGGAGATTATGGATTTGAAGCAAATAATGGTAGATAACAAGAGATTTGTAAGGTTCCTTCTTTAATCAACTTAATATATTACTTCAAACAGCCGCACTTTAAGCAGTTGCACTTTAAAATTTTAGGAGATCAGGCAGCAGATTTTGTACTTTAATGCGTCGCAGGTGGAAATTGAGCATTTTGGAAGCAAAAAGCCAGATTTGTTCATTTTGAGGACCGCAAGCGAAAACAATGTGAATTCTTATTCTTTAATCTTTAATCGACAGATATCGTCCAAAAATAATGTTCATGCAAAACTACCGAAATCCGTGCGAATTCATCTGAATCCATTCAAATCCGCCGAACCCCATTTAAACCCCCGATTTTCCTCCGAATCCATACCACCATATATCACCTTTAAACTACTGTTATCCCTACAAATCCCCATATATCCATCTTAATTCCCATATAACCCAAGCAATTCCCATATAACCCCCAGATATCACTTTTAATCCCCAAATAATAAAAAAAACACCGCAAAATCCAAACAAACCAAAATACAAACTTAAAGTTATATTCGATAAATGCTTAAAAAACCCATAGTTAGTACTGTGAAAAGATTCTTAATTTAAAGACGCTACACAAATAATTGATCAAAAATAACCTTTAGCACCAGCGGCAAAATTTGAAAAAAATGGTGTTAAATAGCTTTTCACCATTTTCTAACCAAAAAAATGTATTTTTGGAAAATCTAATAATTTCCAAATTATTTGATCTAATACATCATCAAACAAGTATTTGTGCAAACAAAATCAAAAAAAATGATCAAATATTTGATGTTCTCTCTAGCGGCATTGAGAATTTTATGTATCTTTGGTGCATGATTTACTAAAAACGTTGCCCTTCGTACCCTATATCAACAAAGCAAATCGTTTTTTATTTATCGGAAATTTGTAAAAATATCGAAAGCAAATCGCAAATTTGTCTTAATAGTTTAGCAAGATAACATGTATTAATTGGATAATGTGTGTTTGGAAAATTCAAAAGGAAATTATGTGCTCTGTGGATTGTTTGTAGGATCTAGACGGCATAGGTGAGATATGGGCGGATTTGAGGGGATAAATTTCAATGAGTGAAAAAGTGCAGACATGCACTGTAAAAATTTTTTTGGACGAAACAAAACTTAAAATTTTTTAAAAACGTTCAGTATCGAAAGAAACACAACTCTTAATTTAAATTTAGAAAAACAAGACAAAACAATTTAAATTGCAAAAATTTTTTTGATAGCTTTAAGTTTTACTTCTGCTTTTTAAGCTCGCATTTTTTGGCCCCGAAGTCCTAAAACAGCAATTTTCCAAATTCTTAAAAACGAAAAAATAGGCTATAATTAGTGCCAAAACGCCTTGCAACGAAAAAAAAAGAAAATAAATGGAGTTTTTGCAAACGCTACTCTGATACTATTTAATCCCTATTTATATTTTAATATTTAAGATTTGCAAAATTATCCCCAACTTCATAGTGGTCAAATTACTGAGTGGAGTAATCAGTTAAATGAACCTGGGCATCCGTCTTCAAGTCAAAGTCCTTGGAATCAACCATTTGATAATGAACATTATCCTTCGAGTTATGGTCATTGGCCAAACCCTTTGGTTTATGATCATTATAATCAACATGACACCTCGATTCAACAAAATTGTACATGGGATTGGATCAATAATCCCTCATCATCTACAACACATGATGAACATTATGGCGGTAATTACAACTATCAAAATCAATTACATATAATTCTTATTCTATGTCCACATAATTTTCATCATATTCAAGGTGGTCAAGGTCAAAATACAATGTCACTGAATCATCCTAGTAATCCGTCTTCAAGCCAACAAACTACTTTTAAATGGGATCATTGTTTTCAACAAAATCCGAGTTATGGTCATTGGCCAAACCCTTCGGGTTATGATTATTATAATCAACACACTACGAGTCAACAAAATCCTTCGGGTCAACAGATTATTTTGGATTGGATGAACAATGCCTCATTATCTACACACAATGAGAATTATAGCGGTAATTACAACAATTAAAATCAATTATATATACATATTTCTTATTTTAGGTCCACATAATTTTCATCAGATTCAAAGTGGGCAAGGTCAAAATACAACGTGGGGGTATCCGTTGAATTACCCTTTGAATCAGTCTTTTCGTCATCCAAATGATTTAAATCAAATACAAAGTGATCAAATTCAAAATACAATGTCGGGTGACCATTTGAACGATCCTGCGGATCCGCCTTCTTCTCAAAATCCAGTGGATCAACAAAATCCACGGGATTGGAATCGTTTTTAGTAAAACATCTTTAAGGGTAAACGATAAACTTTTTGTTTTATCCACTGAGTATGTATAACAATTTTAATTCGAAACTATCTTTATGTACTTTATTCCATTTTTTCTAGGGTTTATTTCTAATTGTAAGTATTTTTAAAAATTATTTTAGATTTTCATTCATTTATTATATTTTTGGGTTGACATTAATCCATGTTTAGAAATTAAATTCTAGGCGATTGTAAGGGATAATACATATTCCGTTATGTATCCCTTCCTTTATAATTTAAATTTTACTATTTTATTTTTCTTCATTGTCTTATTTCTCCTGTTAGTTATAGTTAACCAATGTCACATTTTAACGAAAAAATTATTATTGTTAAGCATCTAAAAATGATCTTTTTCATATTTTTGGGTTGTTATCGGGGCTGGGTTATTATTATTTAATTTTTGTAGCTATTCTTTAAATTCGGCAAAGCACAGTGATTTAGCTCCGGTCGGTGCTAAAGAGCACTATGAGTTTGGAGTTAATTAGTTATTTTTGTGGTTGGTTGTTCACGACCTGTTTTAAAACCGAAATTTTTGTTATTTTTTGCCAAAAATTAACCGTTTTTACAAAATTTAGACTTATGAAAATGTGTGATTTTTAAAAAATTCCCCCAAAATAAAACCGGCATTTGTTAAAACTCAAAACCGAAGACCGGATTTTAAAATTTGGATTATCGAAAATACGGGGGTACCAGCTAATGACCGGTAGTGAACAACCCTAGTTAAAATTTTCAGGGTTATTTTACTGGGGTCTTATCTAATTTGGTATTATGTAAAAATTCAATTTTATTACTAAATAGAGAGAGGAATTTGATTTTATTAAAAAGTTTTTTCGATTTAAAATTTAATTACCTATATAAAAAATCATGGTTAAAATTTTTTTTGGATTTTTTTCATAAATTCCGCTCTCTATTCATTTTTTTAAATTTTATTTTTAAATTGTAGTTTATTAAATTTAACAAGTAGATATTTTTTATTAACAAAGATAAATTAGCTATGTAGATTTGTTACTATTTATTGATAGACGTAGTCCAGCTTCGCAAAACCCCGGTAACATAAAACATCTTTACGACCGTGGACCGACCCCCGTAGATATAGTCGGAGTAACATATGTATCTCGGAGTAACATATTTCACCTCAATTTGTTCAACTCCACCATTTTTTGTTCATTCTTTGTTTAAAAACCTTAAAAATTGTGACGGATTAATGATAGATCCAAGGTGAACATTTAGGATAATTTGGGGAACGATGTTTGGAATAGTGTTGGGAAAGAAATGTTGAATCGAATATGTTTGATAGTTTAGAAATGTTGATTAAGTATTATTATCATAAATTTACAAATTATTATCATAAATTTAAAAAATAAACTATGCTTATTACAACTTTATGCATAGGATAAAATTTTATTCTTGTGCTCATCAGCCTAATCAAATTTTGGACAAACCTGGACATAATAAACAGGCATTTTATGCAAAATATACAAAATGACAACAATTATCTAGTGTAAAATATGTTCTATGTATGTATCGGAGGTGGGTCAGATTCCAATTTCCGATTTCCGACGTTTTATTCCTTCCGATTTCCAAAAAAAATTTGATTTCCGAATTCCGACTTTTGAGTCAGTTCCGATTTCCGGCTCTTTCGATTTCCGACACCTATGACTGTTCCGACCCACCTCTGCTTTTATAACATATAAACTATACTTCTATTGTTATTTTTTAATTAAAGTAACATCTTTCTCACTATAAAGACAATTCTTTCCATCAGGCCCAGTTCCGCTAGATTTTGCCTCACCACCAGTAACCCCGTTAAAACGTTTACAAATATGAACACCAGGAGTGTTATATTTAATTCCACTTAATTTGGCAGTATCTCCATAATTTGAATTTATTCCGACAATAAATTGGCCAGGAGTGCCATTAATTGCTGTCAGATTAGAAATGACTACGTGGCGTTGATATTGTGTTTTACAATTTCCACAACAACGAAATAGGCGGACATAATTTTCTACCTTTTAAAGCAAAAAAATTTTTCTTAAAAATACATTTTTTACATAATAATCTTCAATAAATGCAGTTCCCATTCCATCAAATTGAAAAACTTTGTCTTTCGCATTTCGTGCACCACCGCCTTTTACGCGATAAATTGAATTTTTATTTTTACCTTAATTTAAGAAAACTTTATTTGGTAAAAATGTTTATTCCGTTTATTATAGTGTAGCATTCCGAGCCTTCGGGGGCGGGATCGTCAAGGAATGGGAGTTGCCGTGGTAGAGTCTTTAGTGTTCGGGTCGGAGGTTTTCCCAAAAAAATGGTTTTGGAGGTCGGGCCGGGGTGGTGGGGGTGGGACGGGTGTGGTGCGGGTGGGATGGGGTGCTACACTAGTTTAAAAAGTCGATAGTTCCGCGATTCTGCGTAACCATCTGTGGATGGTTCCGTTTGTTTTGGCCGGAACCGCGGTTTCTTGAATTGATCTAGTAACGATAATCGCCTAAACTTTGGTTAAGAATTAAGATGTCTTCCTAATCTAGGCCTCAATATTAGCGGGATTCCTTTTAAGATCGTGCCTTAATAATGATTAAAAATTTTTTACCATAAAAAGTAATAGCGTCTTCCCCGACAGACTCAAACCAAACATCGTTTATATTACAGCTGCCCATACATCTAATTCCGTCAGCAGAGCCTTTAGCGCCAGACTTTATCCCAATTATACAATTTGACAATGTAGCACCATCTTTTAATTCAAAAACACGTTTTTGCCCCTCTTTTTGACTTCCATCCCCAAGTTTACTTGGATCAGGAATATAACGGTCAAAATTACAGTCAAATGATCCTTCGACCATTTTTGTTGTAGTTAACTGTAGTTTATGAATCTTATTTAAATTTAACTCGGCATCTAAATTCAATTTAGACTATGTTTTGTGGACCGAAATTTTTATTACAAGTATTGCGGGTGATGGAAGAATCTCGAGATGTAATTTTTGAGAAGGGGGAAGAACTTATTTTAGATTTTGGGAATTTTGAGGGTCAAGAATCCAGAAGTTTAGTTTTCTTATTTTCCAAACTTGGCTTTAGCTGGACAAGAATTTTTAAAGTTAGAGGTCTGAAAGTTAATCTGGGGCTGTACTTTTACGTTATACTGATTATACGCAAACTGGGGTGTGTATAATTAGTTGACAGAGAGTAACTAAATTCAGGTTTAATTTCTTAAAACTTACAATTATGTCATTTTTTGCTTTAGGCCATGCTTCGCATAAAAACCAAAAAGCAGAAAACAAAACAAATTTAAAAATAAAGCTAATTATAAAAATCATTTTTTAATCTATAATAAATGACAGTAAATTAACAGTATTAAATTAATTAAATCAGACATTAAATTGAGAGTGAATAAAAGTGGGTATCAGATAAGCTGCATCTGATTAGAATTATACACAAATTTGACGTTAATTTGAGGGTGAAATTACAATTATGTCGATATTATACATAATAGAGCTCCGTTTGTAATGAAGTGAAAATATTAAAAAATATTATTTTTTGATCTTCACATCAGAGGTGAGTCGGAACATTCAGAGGTGTCGGAAATTGGAAGAGCAGAAAATCGGAACTGGCTCAAAAGTCGGAAATCAGAAATCAAAATTTTTTTCGGAAATCGGAAGGGAATCGGAAGCTGCGCATTTCACCTAGTATACAATAAACTTAGAAACTCAACTTAACTTTAGGAAGGTATTCAAAAGTTCCTCCCATCTCAGCAAATAAAACAAAAATGAAAACGTTCATTCTGTGAAGGGATGGCTGAACGGCTAGAAACATTTGCTATTTTCTGAGATAAGTTCAGCCGCTTTACTATATTATAGGGAGGTAATTAAACTACTATTAACGCACTTTTTTAATAATAAAAATTTATAATTTCTCTCATTTTATATTCCAAAATTTACTTGTCTGTTTAAATAAAATAAAGAAAAAAATTAAATATATTTAATTGAGACAAAAAATTATTTAAGTAAAAAGTACAATTATAAGAGAGAATTCCCTGAAATTTGTTTAAAATTTGTACTTTCTATTTGATCATGGTTGAAAAAATTATTTAGGTTCCAGACAAAAAACTTTTGATTATTTTTTAGAAAATAATGAATAAGATTATATAATGGCATTTAAACTAAAATTTTCGTTTTAGAAAATTTTTTTGAGGATAAAAGCTTCCAGATTTACCCAGGGATGATGAGATGAAAATAAATAAATAAAAATATTTCAAAAATTGTTAAACAACTTTTAACACATTTTAATTATTTTGGATAGAATTTCAAAACTCGGAGTAATCACTGTGCACTTTATAGAGGTCCAAATGCAAGAGCAAAAATAAAATTAAAGCGATATTTGAGAATATTTTAATGATACTTTACCTAGCTGTACTATTTTAAATGCTTAAGTGGGAGTCAGATGATCTTAAGGAGAAAAGAGAAACGTTAGTTGTCGGCCCGGTATTTAGGTGGTAGTAACCTCATAGGGGTATTTAGTCACCTTGTCATTGGCCTCTAGCTCAGTGGTTTATGGCGTAATTACTGGAAAAGAGTTTATAACAGATAATTAAATAAAAATTTAAAAAATATAAATTTATGAAAAATTGTTTTTAAATAAAAATTTCTAATGAAATAAAGAATACGAATTGATTAATAAACAATTAATAAAAACAATTAAAAACTTTTTAAATCTGATATTCTGAAAACGATTTCTTAATCGTCGCTTCAAATTGTTTACATAAAATATAATAAATTTGACATTATCTCCTTTTACATTTTGTTGTCAATAATTATTCGATATTGAAAAATTATATAAAAAACTAAAAATTTTTTAAAAGAGCTATGAATTTTTGTTTAAAATTTTTTAAATATAATAAAATTGTGGTAAATCTGCTACTTGATTTTAAAAGATTTTTTTATAAATTTTATTTTTGTGTAAAATAAAAATAATCAAATTTAATTCTCTGGCAGCTTTTCTTGAGCCGATCGGATTAGTTAACAATGTGGAGATAAGAGATCTCAAATCAAAAAACAATTTTTTTTTAATTTCAAAATTGAATTTAAAAAAATTTCATTGGAATACGACCATGTCCAAAAGTATCGTAATAATAAAATCTACATTCATTTTAGTTAACATTTAAATTTAAGTAATTAAAAATTATTACTATTAATCATATTTAATTTATTAAAAAAAATTTTCACATTAATGATATTTTAATAAAAATAAATTTAATAAAAATAAATGAAGGACTTTCGCATAATACAATTTTTCTCAATTTTAAATCGAATTTTACTAAAATTAGGATTGGGTCCGAAATATTTTTAAATTTTATAGCATTGAGATCTATTTCCTCCAACGACGTTTCCGTTCTTATTTGAGCTCAGCCGTGATCCCAAGTTATCGTAATAATAAAATCCACAGCCATTTTAGTTAGCTGAATTTAAATTTAAGTAATTAAAAATTATATTATTAATCATACATAATTTATTAAAAAAATTTTTTCACATAACTGATATTTTAATAAAAATAAATTTAAAAGTTGATAGTCATCATAACCAACGATAATTTTCAAATATTTTATAAACACTGGGAAAATTGAAAAATTAAATTATAACTTTACTTTTTAATTATTTTTAAAATTAAATAAATTTTTATTTCAAATTTTTTAGAATTAAAAATTCTAAAATGGATTTTAATAATTATTTTGTCGCGGTTTTGGAATTTTTTGTGTTAATGGTAAAATAAATATTTTAAATTAATGAACTTAAACAATTAAATTAACATAAATTTTGAAGTAGAACCTCTGTTTAAATTAAGCTCCATTTTAAAGACTGCCGAAATTTTAAACCCAAAAAGCTTTATTGCTTTTAATTTAAAAACAAATTTGGAAAGTTATATTGTATTACTTGTTAAAATCAATCTATTTATGGATACATTGGATTTTAGAAGTTAAAAACATAGGATTTAAACAGATAGGAGTTGGTTGTAACTAGAAATAAAACATGGGATCTGTTTGGAGTTAAGGATCTTTAATAGAATATATCTAAAAGTAAAACTTGACAAGCACCGATAGCAAGGTTTCATGTTAAACTACTGTTCCGGAAAAGCATTTCCTAAAATTTATTATCAAAAAATTATTTTTTAATTTAGTTGGCATCTGCTAACAAGCTGAGTCATATAAGATTTAAAGAAGAATTTGAAAAGTCTTCTAAGAAGGAATCTGGATATTTTTGCAAGAAATATACAGATTATAAATATTGTGGTTGTGTGTATAACGGCAAAATCCCTTCGGCTTTTATCTTCCCAAACTATGATACTGATAATGAAAATGAATTTTTTAAATTGGCAACGGTATTTTAATCTATAAGTAATGCTAACTTATGAATTTTTAGTTGCCTGTTTGCGGTAATGAGTACTTCAACCAGATTAAACGTTGCGCAATTGTATATAAATTATTAAAATTAATCTTAAAAATATAATAAAAATTATAAAAATTATAAAAATAATAAAAAAATAAAATAAAAAATAATAAAAAAATTAAATAATAATATGACATTCTCACAAACCTGCCCTGTGGTCAACATAGTGTTCGGCACAGTTTACTCCCGAAAATACCAAGTCGGTATTTTACGGACTACCGATACCGGAACCGGCCCAAACAGATTTTGGAAATTTCGGTACTTGTCAGTATCGGAACTTTTCGGTACCCCCGATAACGAGGATTATATATTTTTGATAAAAACCGAAATTTCGGCTCCATAATCGCAGTATTTTCTTTGCGTTTTGAATATTTAGCTTATTAATATTTTTAGATTTATCTTTAAATTTTTAAAAATATAGGTGCTCATGTCCAAGTCACAAAAAATAAAACAAAAAGTTGTCCTATGGGACCAAAAAATTTTTGGCGTCTAATAAACTTCTGATCTGAGTTTTGGGGTCGTCTTGGGTCTTGGGGTGTTGTCTTGGTCTTGACTTGAAAAATTTTCAGTCTTGGACATCTCTAATGAATAAGACAGACTATTTAATAGCAGTCAAAACATAAAATTTTCATTTCAGACCAATTTCTATGAAGATCAGAAGCCTCTGAATGCCCCAAAGAATGATAAATATAATAGTAAATAAGTATAATAATTAAAGTTGTGATTTTTATGCAAATGCACATGTATAATGCACAAAAAAGAGTTTCCGCTTGGTTTGAAAACTTTATAGGGGATTCTATTTGCATATAATGGAACAAAAATGCAAATTTTAATGCGAATTTTGAGGGTTTTAGGGAAAATATCAAGAAAATTGCCCAAAATCCTGACATAATTGTGTAAATTTTGTAAAAATTTACGAAAAAGAAATCAAATTATCTTAAGAAAATACGTTTTGAATGTTTTTGACTAAAAAATGTAAATTTCTAGGTAGAAATCGTATTTTTCTTAAGTAATTTCTTGCATATTTTTGTGCATACTATTTTGCATTTTTTAATGCATAAAAATCACAAATCTAATAATAATACTAATAATAATATTTAAATAATATTAAAGCAATTTAAAGGGATGTTAATTCTTTTGGATGGATGTGCGAGTTGTTCAAAAGGTGGGGCGATCACTGAACTTCGAGTTACCCATTTTGAAGAAGAAGGTGGCTTCTTCTCGATGTACCGATAAGAAAAAGAATTTGAGGCGTTCAGAATTGCTGATATATTAATAAATATTGGTGGAAGTAAGTTAAAAATTCAGGATCATTTACAGTTACGTTATTCTTAGTCATCGTCGTGTAATAACGTCTCCTGAATGAATACACTTCTTATAAATACGTTGATATCAAACTTCATACATCAAACTTCATATACTTCATGCATCAAACTTCTTTGACATCAAACCTCATATATTTCATACATCAAACTTCTTTGGCATCACACTTCATATTATAGGTAGTATTTTATAGATGTGGAAACCTAAGTAAAATGTTTCTTATGTTTAGGTTCATTAGATCGTCATACTTATGAATTTAGAATTTTTGATTTCTAGGTCTGGATTTAGAGGACTGTAATTAATAAACAACTAAACAAGTCGTTTGAATTTTATTTATTCAAAAATATTTAAAAAATACATATTTTATTTTCAATTTTTTGTTGTCTTTCATCATCTTTGATTTATTTTCTCATTTCTTAAGGTCTCCAATTATAATCAGCATTTACTCGACAAACATAGCGCTTCTCTTCTAATGTATTATTGTAATATTGCTTCATTGTTGGATTTATCCAACCACCAAATTTATATTTATTAGAATTGTAATAATCATTAAAA